ACACACATTCACACACACACACACACACACACACACACACACACACACACACACACACACACACACACACACACACACACACACACACACACACACACACACACACACACACTCACTCTCACACACACGCACAGAGATTTAGTTAATAATTGTCACCATAAATAATAACATTGTACAAACTATGACATGAAACTTGATAAATCTCAAATATTCACAAAATTAACTCTCACAGTATTTTCCCCAACTTCTGCCGTTTTAGCCAACTTTAAATTCAGAAAACAATTATCCTTTAAAGGTTTTAAGCAACTGTCTATATATTAAATAACATCCTCTTCTAGGGGCTAAGTATTCATCGGCAGAAAGGACAGTGAATGGGTGCTACACTATTTACATCTTCAGTCTGTTTAGTCTCTCGAGGAGAGGTTGTGATGACAGCAGGAAGTAAAACTATCTCCACGTTCTCCAAGGATCACACAATCTGTCCTGCAGCGTCCATGGATCAGCCAATCCCAGAGGCAGAGAGACGTGGGTGTGGGTGTGTGGCTCAGTACGGGGTGAAGCGGTTATATCCTCCTCTGTACAAACTGGCCTGTAAACAGAAGCATTGTGTCAGGTGCTGTTAACCACACGTGTAACATGAGATCTCTCTGCAGAGGCTGTGTGTGTGTGTGTGTGTGTGTGTGTGTGTGTGTGTGTGTGTGTGTGTGTGTGTGTGTGTGTGTGTGTGTGTGTGTGTGTGTGTGTGTGTGTGTGTGTTTCACTCACCATTGTACCAACGCCATATGTTGTTGTTGGTCCAACTGAGTGGTGATAGGGGTCCGCAGATGTCGTATAAACTCGTCCGTATCTGTTCAAAAACATCAGAAGCAGATGCACATGTCACGATGTAGCCAGGATTTAAAAAAAGGCTCCTATTAAACTTCCTTTTTTTATTCATTTATCTCCTCAATGATGGCTTTTATTTAGTTCTACTTTCATAACAGCCCCTCCACAGTCTTTTGGTGTTTAAATGTTGCCTCTAAATGTTGAAAATAAAGGATAAAATCGGAATTAGCCTTAAAATCTGACATGTGTTTAAGTCCAACATGTGCACTGAATAGGATGTTAGTCCTCCTACATTTCTAGACACAAAATGCATGACCTGACCTCAGTGCCTGTTACTTAACTGGTTGGTTTTAAAGGAAACATAAGTAGGTTTTTTTTATCAACTGATATAAGGTTCATGTATACAGTTTTATATAAAATGTTAATGATTTATACTTGAATTCCGGAATATTTTTTATTCATCTGATATCATTTCCCTTTCTTTAAATGGTTTCAAGGATCAAAAAGCTGATTTGAGTTACACAATAGTTGTTTTCGTTGTAAAATCTGCCTACCCGTCACTGTAGGTTGCCGTGGCAGGAGACGCTGATTGAGCCACTCTGTAAGCAGCAGGATAGCCACCCTGCACAGAAAATACAATAAAAAATAACATTATTATAGTAACAACACTTTAAAATGACTTTAAAGAGGAAATGTGTGCAGCTACTTACATAGACTTCAGCTCCATACAGTCCATCCTGATACACCATCCTGAAAGAAGTGAGTGAAACAATATTAAAATGCTGAAGACTGAAGTGAGTGAAGAGGCTCTGGCACTCGGACACAGTCATACCCGGGGTATCCGGGCACGGCAGTGGGCGCGGCAGCAGCAGAGCGGATGGTGCTGTAGACGGCGCGGCCTCGCCCCCCCCGCAGCGCAGAGCCTCGGTACGCCAGCGTGGGAGCGGCCATGGGATAGGGGAAACCGGCCATTACAAAGGGATATAAAATGGTAGAAAACGTGAAAGGTAAATCTTTTGAATATAATGTAAATACACAGGTGATCTCATTAAAATAATAGTTAGGGGTTTGAGAAAATATACTGTAAATACTTTTATATTTTCCTAATAGTTTTTAATTAATAGCACAGTGTAGTTTATATGCTAAGATCCTTGCTATGACAGTGGTTCATCTGAAGTTATGTTTAAGCCCCCTAATAGAAGTGTTGTTATCTGTTTATAGCCATCGACTCTTCCCTCTCAGTGTAACAACATAAACTAAGACAAGTAAGTAGTGTAAGGGTGCAAAAGTAAAATGAAAATACAGCCCTAATAACAGATGAGTGTTACAGAGAGTGTCTTACCTGTATAGAGTTCAGGTGCGTACATCGCCTGCATGACGGGGTTCATCTTCCATCCAGAAGCTACACATAGAGAACATTGGGATAAGTTTCACACAAAACCACTCGGAATCATGCAGAAAGTGAACTTAGCTCAAATGAATGGGGAGTCTTACTTGGAATTTCACTGTTTACAAGCGGCGTCTGGGGCTTCTTGGTTACTACTCTTGCAGTTGCATTATTAACCTGGATAATAAGATAAAATATTCCTTATTGTTCCATAGGGGGAAATAAGCTTAGGGCAAATTCTGCAACAAAGTGAAGCAATCAACTTAAAACAATACGGAGCCAAACAAACAAGGCTAGTGGTACAACAGACACACAGTGTGAGATAAGATAAATAACTTAATATTCATTAGAAAAATGAATTCTCCCTCACCTCAATCTTTCTCCCCTCCACAATCGTCCCGTTCAGCTTTTCTCTGGCTCGGTCCGCCTCACCTGCACTCTCGAATGTGACGAAGCCAAAGCCCTGCAAGACCACACCGTCACAATGTTAATATTCTGTTTTCTTATTTTAAAATTCTGTTTCAGCTCTTATCATGCCTGTGATGCTCACCTTGGACCCCCTCTCATTGAAGATAATTTCTACATCAAGGATCGTCCCAAATTGCTGGAAATGTCAGAATAAGTATGTAAGTATAATATAATAGATACAGATTACTTCATTTTGTTTAATGATGTATATAACGATTTATAAAGGCATTGTGAGACTGCGTGACAGTGAGAGATTTCTACCCCAAACATCTGGCGGAGGTCCGGGTCCCTGAAGCGGAACGGGATGTTGGAGACGTGGAGGCGTTTGGGTTGGGCCTTATTGGACCCCTCCTCGTCACTTCCATCTCCTGCCCCGCCCCCTGATGACACCGACAGGGGGTCAGAGTTCACAGCGGCCAAACCATCCTCCTGCATTGAGAAAGTATGAAAACAGGAGGAGAAGGAGGAGAGGAAGCGATAGGAGAAGAATGGACAGGAAGGAAGAGGACGTGAAGGAACATGAAACAGAAAGATGGAAAAAGAAAGAGCATGAGTGAGATGAGAGTAGGTGAGAAGAAAAAACGAGGAAAGGGCATCAGTAGGAAAGCAAAGGAAAAGAAAAGGAAGAAAAATCATAAAGTTAATTTGGAGAATACAGTCTGTAACATCTTTCAGAGAATATTGTTTGTGTCAGCACCACAGAGCATTAAGCATCATTTTCATGAAGTGATTCAAACCAAAGTTCAAAGAGCATTCAGCAACCAGTGATCCCTCTCAGGCAAATGTGAGGAGGCAAGAAAAGGGCTCCATTTTAGTGAGGCGTCTTGAAATACATGCCTGGAGGAGAGTATAAATACTAATGCACTGTACAAAAACAATATGGATTATAAACCTGTCATATAAATCTTCACTCAAGCTGTTTCAAAGTGTTAAATAATGTTTAATGATGAAGCACTCTCACTGAGTGTCCCATATTATTGTAATAACCTGTAATATACATACAAAACTCTAGTAATATTTAACTTAAAGTTGCCCCATGCAGAAAAGTTTACTAATGTGCCAAAACCAAAACATTCTTTTTCCCAAAATGCACCACGATGCTATTGTGTGCATGTTTTTTATGTTGGTGAATGGTGACCCAGCATCATCAACCATTGCAAGAAAATAAATGTTAAAAATATGTTTTTTTAAAACAAATGAATAAGTACAAACAAGAAAAGGTCTGCAAGATAGAAAAAATATATATAGTGAGCTTCAGCAGTGAAAGCGAGAGAAGAAATGTTGAAAACATTAAAAAAAGAACATAACAAAGCAAAGAAAAATACTACAAAATTGTTGATATATAAATATAAAAAAACAGTCCTTGTGTAAAAGTGAAAATGTCAGTATTAGCATTCTAGCACCAAGAGGCAGAGAGTGGAAAAGGCCTCAGTGCAGCAGTGAAGAATAAAATGAAACCAAAGAAAACAAGGCAAAGAAGGTGCGCAAAAAGCTTGAAAAGGAAGAGGGTGAAGGGGGAAGGCAAAGAGTGTAAAACTGTACGTTCCACAAGGGTCAGTCAGGGGTCACGGTGCTGCTTTTCTGCCAGGGGTTAAAGGTCATTTGTCAAGGGGCATCATTAATAAAGTGGGGAGAGACAGAAAAAGGTACAAAGACACTTTCACACACTTTCTCACACACACACACACACACAAACACACACGCACACGCACACGCACACACACACACACACACACACACACACACACACACACACACACACACACACACACACACACACACACACACACACACACACACACACACACACACACACACACACACATACACACATACTTAATCATGTGTAGCCTAATGTGATCATTGAAGTATATTCAATCCTAAATAAAGGAATGCATCTAAGAGAGAGAGAGAGAGAGAGAGAGAGAGAGAGAGAGACAGGAAATACTGCAAACACAACTGT